ACATCACCGGTGGCGCTAGAAGTGCCCGACAAGATACCCTTGCGGCTACCCACGGGCGCCTTGATCTCAATGTGAGGCGGATCAAGCGGTGGATTGGTCTGAGCATGGCGGTGCTTGCTCGCAGCGTTCAGCGCTGCGAGTTGCTTGCCTGTCGATGAGCTACTGTCGATGCTGGTATTATTGCTATCGGCCCCCGCGCTGTCCAGCCTCCGTAACGAGCCGCTGCGAGTACCTCTAGTGACGACTTTTGCGACGGGAGGGTTCTTAGGCTCTTTCTTGAGGGGGGAGGACACCTTTTCTGCCGACGCCATGCTACCGATGGTGACCGCTCCTCCAGGAGCCATGACAGCTTGACCGCTGAATCTGCGCGACTGTCGCGCTGATTTGGCGATGGGCTGAGCGCTGGTGTCGTAATCATCCATAGAATCTTGACCGTAATCAGTCCCAGCCCGAAGCCCGTAAGCATCGGCACTGCTCCACATCTGTTGCAAGGGACCACGTCGCTCGATTGTCGTCGCGAAGCCCAGGTCGGCCCAAGGGGCAGCGTCTGGTGTGCTGGGAGTAGCTGGAGAATTCGATGGCAAGGCCAGCGCGCCGCGCAAGCTGCCACTTTTAGGCAAAGGTCGCGTAGAGATAGCAAGCTCTCGCTCTGGAATAAGAGGCGACGCGCTATGCTTTGATTGCCTCGAGAGACTCTTGGCCAAGGGCACGTTGTCATCCGAGTCATCCCCGATCCTGTCGGCTTCTGCCAAGAGCCAAGCTGTGCTTGGATCAGCGACTGCCTCGAGTGAAGAGGATTCGGTGGAAGTGTCTTGAGCTGGGATCGGAGCCACGGCACTAGGTGGCGGTCGATTCGGTTTTGCTTTGAGGTTGCGAAGGCTGTCGAGGCGCTGGCGTGGAGTGAGACTGCTCCATCTGCCCGTTGGTGATGGCACCTCTACACTAGGCCGAGTCCTATCCGCGTCGGATGCCCTTCGCGGTCGTCTGGGCGCACCTTGCGCCTCAGTGGCATCCATGAGAGCAAGGGGAGCAAATGGATCGGGCATCGGCTTTCGCAACGCCTTGCGCATACTGTTGCGGATTTTTGATCGGCCCGAGAGGTCTGATTCGGATTTTGGCATGACTGGAGGTGAGATTCCCACTGGTGGCAAGGAAGCTCGAGATCGCTTGGGCTTGGGCAGCGAAGCGTTGCGATCCATGAAAGGGGCACGCGAAGCCAGGGCGCTTTGTTTGGCGCTTTGTTCCATGGCGTCTACATCACCGGCGAAAGCGAATTCTGCACGCGTAGGACTGGACGTTTGGCTTCCTGTGAAGCTGCCGCTCCGCAAAGATTTGAGAGCGCGACCAAGAGGCGAAGAAGCGTCGCCCCCATCGTCCTCTTCATCGCCAAAGCCAATCGCCTCGCCAGTTTGACCGATCTTCATGCTCGGTAGCGAGCTCTTCTCGGCCTCATCAAAAGAAATGAGAGGAGAAGCAGGAGGCGAGCGAATTTTGCTGACGCGCTCGGAATGCGCTTGTCGCTGAAGTTGGAGCTGCACATCGGTGAGACCGACGTGATGGCTTGGCTTCCGCGGAGGCGAGGGACTTGAAATGACTGGTGCTGATGAGGATCGAGTAGGAGCAGAAGGCAGAGGCTTGTCGATCGCCGCAGTGGAGGCTTCAGCTGAACGAGGTGCAGGCGGTTGCAGGCTGTCCGTAGGGAGATCACTGGGCAAGCTCGTCGTCGACGCGCTGGAGCCCAACTCTTTCGCACGTTGTGCTTGTCTTCTCGCTCGCCTTTTGCGCCAGTCCCAGTCTCTTCCAGCAGCGGCTGTGCTTTGCGTAAAACGCTCAAACCAGAACTCGTGCTTTTCCCACGCCCGAGGATCTTGCAATGTCGCTCCGTCGTCCGCAGCCCAGTGCGCATGCTCTCCATCACGCGGTCCGACGTACCACAGCGATCGAGGATCCGGGTGTGAGGCGACGTGGGATGCCGTCTCGAGGCGTTCCTTTGCTCGATCGTGGCAGTCTGCGAAAGCAGTCCAGTCCGGCTCTGTCAGCCGAATGTGCTTGTTTCTGCGACTTGTAGGCCATGCAGATCTGATCTGTGCCAACGTCATGCTGCCCAATCTTGGCAGTGGTGGCGGTCTAGGAGCTGCTTCACCAAAGCCAGCACCCGGAGGCAAGCTCGAATTCGAGGTGCTCCACTGAGAATTCTCAAAGGGACTTCGCGTGTTTTGTGCTTCGTTGTCAAGATAAGCGGCAGCTGAAGACGAGCCCTCAAACGGCCAGGGCCCAGTGTCAGTTCCGCGCCCAGGGAAACCCGGCGGCGAGTCTCGGAGTGAGTCCCGATCCCAGTCAGCACTGAAAGATCCCTGACTGTTGGGGTAAAGGCCTGCCTCTGCTGGGGAACGCACGAGGGGTAGACCTGCATAAATCTCCGGCTCGCGCTTTAGGATGGGGGGCGGCCCAGCAGGGGCGGGTCGTCTCCTCCCATGCCCTCTGCTACTCGCGCCGCCATGTCCAGTGCTACTGCTGGGTCGACTTCGCTCGTCGCCGCTGAGCGACACGCTCGAAACGTCTGACAAGGATGCAAACGAGCCAGCAGCAGAGCTAGAAGGTGAAAGCAAGTCGGGTGAAAGCGGTCCGCTCTCATCGCTAGATCTAGGTTCGTCGAGGTTCGAATCATTCAGAAGTGCGGGTGTAGTCAAAGCGTTCCCTTTGACCGACCCGTCTGACGCCACGGGCCGCAGCCTCGGCGGTCGCTCAGACCCAGTAGAGGATGGAGTTGGGACCTCTGCGCTCGCCGCCGAAGTTTGCAATGGCGCATGTGATGCTGGTGGGACACCGAGAGCAGCAGCTGCTGCAGCCGCCGCAAACGTGGTAGAGGAACCGTCGTCGGTACCGTATACGGACGACCTCCTGGACGAGGTCGCGCTATTGTCTCCTCCGGTGGAAGGGCTTTCGCCGTTTGGCGAGCGTGCCAGGGCTTGCGCTGCGGCGCTGGGATCCAATCTTCCAGACTCGCGCCTCCCTCTCTGGTGAGGGGATGCATTTTCCCTATGCATAGAGCCAAGTGTCATCGCACCGCTTCTGCCCCGCTCATCCAAGTCGAGGTGTATCGGCGAGATGCACAGTCTAGAGCGAGGATCATTACTGGTGATGCGAACCTGACTACTGCGCCTGCGAATCACGCTGTCGTTGCTTCCGAACTTGTACGCGCGCCTCAGAGGCCGCTTGCCGTTGGAAGGCTCGGCGTCTGAATCTTCCTCGTACTCGTACTCGTCCGACTCCAGCTCAAATTCCGCCTCATTCATGTTGGATAAGCCTTCGTTGAATTCGTAGAGGGAGGCGATCTGTCTAGATGATCCGGTCGAGACCATGAGGTAGAGCAGCGTGCAGCAGAGGATGGTCACTACGAAGGAGGCGCAGGCGATCAACAAGCTGCTACACGAGAAGGGCTTCTCTCTTTGCAGGCGCTTTCTTGTCGCACACATTTTCCGAGCGACTCCAGCTCCTCGGCACACCAGATCCGTGCAAACACTCACCTGGCGCAGCCAGCAAGATCATTGCGGTCCACGTCCGCCATATCGCACAGTACCAATACCAAATTGCATGGCGTAAGGCAGAGAGCACCGCCCCCAGCTGATCCACCACTATCATGTTGGCTCGAAAGGCCGTGTGGCTTCCTTGAAGAGACCAGATCGAGCCGAGAGGCGGTCTCGCTGGCGAGATGACCTGATCGCCTGCCGAAACAGCCTCGGAAAGTCTTACAAGGCTGAATCAGGCGCTATCGATTTTTGGACGCGGTGAAAAGGT